AAAAATAAATGATAATAAAGTTTTCTACTCTATGTAGCAATGTGTTCCATACTATTATATTATTTATTAATATTTCGTATTATTACAGCGGGATTTTGCATTTTAAAATAGACAGTCGTTCTAATTCTTGTATTAACATCGTAACAAATTTTATTACAGTTTCTCAACATTCCTTATTGTTTTCCTGATTGAAGAAATAATTATACGTTGAAATAGTACATGAAATAAAGATGAGTAAATGATGTAAAAAACATTAAAATATATTGAAGTAATATAAAGGAATTTAAATTTAAGATTAATATTACTAGGAGGGATTTTTTTTTTAAGGGAAGTGAATAAACTCTACATATTATAATTTTCTTTTAATACTCGATTACGAGCGATTGTAACAGTTGATTGAAATAATTCGAGTGGTTATGCCTGATTGGGTGTGTCTTGAAAGCGACTTGGCAGAAGTGGAATTGATTATAAGTAACCGTACGGTAAACTGGAATTCTAAGCTCTGCAATCGAAAGTTTTTTTATCGCGTGAAATCACTTCGAGATTTTTCCTTCGTTCCTAGAAAATACGAATAAAAATGTTTTACACCGCGATAAGGAAACAATTTTCAATTAAAATTTCGTTCGTATAATAATAATAAAAGAAGAAATAAATTTACACCTGCTATGTGTTTCAATTCTCATCTCAAGAGTTACAACAGCGATAAAAATAATTAAAACGAATCGATTGTACAGGGAACGATCGCATCGAATGATACGAATAATAATTCGGTGATAAAAACGTTCGTCGCGGTTCGTCATGCATCGTAATAACTTGACCACGATTTCCATCGTGCCCTAGAAAGCTAGGTCTATCGCTTTAATAATGGTGACACGCGGCGCTAGTGTCGCGAGTACGCGTCCTCACACGCAACTATTATTAATCATTTCTTAGCGACTTTCGAACACTTCTCTGCTTTAACACGCGAACAAATAGATTGCGTACGATATGAAAGTGGAAAAACCAGAGTATTCTTTTGTAGTTGCATCGTACAGTGATCAAATCAGATTTGAAGTATGATAGCAAATCTTTGTGTCAAATTATATTAGGTATTTTGTTCATTGCACTTAGGTGTTAATATTTCTCGTCTTGCATTGCAATTCTATGTTGTTCTTCAGCTGAATTATCCTCTACAGAAATAATTAAATTAATTTGAGTCTCAATTTCGATCGTTTCTCTTTGTTCTTCTCTGAATAATTCTTTGATCCTCGCGGACCTTCGGAGTCAACGTCAGGAAACTCTCGAAATTACTGAGAGTTTGCTGAGAAAATAAGAGGAAAGGATCAGAGACTGTTAGAAACAGGTTGTTCTCGCTTTGGCGAGTGCATCAGAAAGTGGCTGAACGAAATTGCACGTGTCATCGCGAGCGATTTCCACGTCCTCGTTCCGAATCCGGCGACCCTGCGAGCCTCCGTACGACAAAAGTGACAAAAGAGACGCAGTCGAAGGCGTCGATGGGCGTCGAAACAAACCTGATTAAAATCAAGCCTGTTAGCAATGGAACGTCTGTTTCTTGGAATTTATTTTTTTCATTCGTTAATACTTTTATTTTTGAACTAAGAAACAGACTGTGGATTATTGGGACATTTAATGCGATTGTTTCAGATGTGAGACACGGTGAATTCATGGAAAACCACAGGCGATGCAGGCACAGATGCAAGTCCGCCACGTCCGTAAGAGAGTTTAACAGGTACTTTTTTTTAAATCATTAGACTGCGGATTTTTATGCGTTCATGGAGAAATAATTTGAAAATGTACAATACTCTTGATATATTATTAAATATTAATATTATTCTTCGTGTGTTATTATTAATATTAAGTATTAGTAGATTTTCAGTAAATTTAATAGAATCTTTTATCTAAGTTCCATTTTGTAAATTTCATTTGCTAATCTGATTTATTTCTTAGGTCAATGAGCGTCGATCATAGTCTCCCACCAGTGGATTCCATAGAATTGGGTAAGAAATTTGTATCGTCATAATTCTCTGTGATTTAGAGACTTCTATTAATTATGTACGTCCTGATTTCGTGCCTTTAAAAAAAAAAAGAGAGAACGTTTTATCTATGGATCTCTCGTTGTTCTTTTTAAATGTATCAATTTCAAAGAGAAAATTGCAAACTTTCTTCGTATAGCAGAGAAATATTTGAGTTCTCAAGAGATAGATTTCTGTTTAATATAGTGAATGGAGCATCATACGTCATATAATTTTCTATATTTAGTCGCCAGTTTAACATTTCTCGACAATTTTCTGACATTGAAAATTTACTTTTATGATTAATATCACAAACTTTGTCATTTTATCTTCACAGATATGCCAGAGTATCGTTCTCGACACGAATATCCAACGATGGAACAAGAAAAATACATGGTACAAATTATTCCGCCCCCACATTTGGACTTGAATACATACGGCCATCTAAAAATCGACTACACGAACAGTTGGAATTCTCTGAATCGGAAAATCAGTAAATAATTTCATTCTGAAAGGGACCAAATTAATTTATTTCCACTTCTTATGCATATATTCTGATACTTACAAATATCATCAATTATTTATGTTTTATATATATATATATATATATATATAACTTAAAATCGAACCAAAAATTATTTCTAGTTTGACTCGAGTAACGGAAATCGAAAGTTAATTTTTTTTATGATAAATATTAATATACATTTTTAGATTGACCGTAGTATAGTTTTCTTCGTACGAAATGCTTTTGATGATAAATTGCAATTGTAAACGATATTTTAAGAAATATCTATCAGAGTATCTCTGTCTTCGTAAAATAATTTCCTTTTCTTTATGCCAATGTTTTTATCCACGGTTTCCTCTTCGTTCTCCAATGGCGTGCCATTTACTCTTTCTACGTTCAATTCTGGCCATCTATAGTTTGCATCGTCGAAGATTGACTTTAATTACAAGTGTAATACTCAGGAGGGATGATTAAGAAAATTTAGGAAGTTAGAAAAATTGTTGGATTTAAAAGCATTAATTATAAGATGCAATTCGATTTCTTGAAGAGTGTTATACAAATTTGGGAAACTAGAAACCAAAATTTTTTTCTAATTGACAACGAAAGAGTTGGGAAAATCTCTGAATTTAAAGAAAATAAAAGTAGTTCGAAAATTCAGAAGTTATTATCATTATTTTCAAAAAAGAAGTTCAGGAAATTCAAGGTGAAACTTTTGCATCACAAGAGTTTAATAAAAAAAAAAATTGAAAATTGAAAACTTTCGACGAGTTAATTGGAATTCAAGATTCGAAGTTAATAATAACGATATGATAAATGCAATTGAGAAAATTCGAAAAATGACGAA